ATCAATTTTTAGATAGAGAGGAAGGGAGAGGGAGAGATAGAAACATCAGCGAGAGAGAATCAGTGATTGGCTGCCTCATGCATGCCCCCTACTGGGGATTGAGCCTGCAACCCAGTCATGTGCCCAGACCAGGTATCAAACCGAGAACCTCTAGGTTCATAGGATGATGCTCAACCCACTGAACCACACTGGCCAGGCTATATATTATTTTTTATATGAAAATCCATCTCAAGAAGTTAGAAACAACAAATTAAACTTAAAGAAAGTAGAGGAGAAAAAACAACAGAGATAAGAACAGAAATCAATGAAATAAAAAAACAACTATAGCAGAGAGACTCAACAAAGCTTAAAGTTTTTCTTTGGAAAAAAAAAATAGAAAAAATGATAAATCCCTGAGACTGATACAGACACATAATTTGTATGAGGAACACTACAGGGGGTACTACAATATAGGTCACAGATACATTAAAATATATTAAGACAGTATTATGAAGAACTGTATACCTTCAATTTTGAAAATTTTGATAAAATGGGGAAAATGCAATTCACTAAAACATAAGAAAAAATTTAAATCAGAACAGTCCTATAACTATTAAGTTATTGAATTTATAAGTAAAAAGCTTTCCACGAAGAAACCTCCAGAGGCTGTCAATGGTGCACTCTACAAAATATTTAAAGAAAAAGATAACACCAATTTTCTAATTTTGCACAAAATTTTTCAGGGTATTGGAGAAAAATTATACGATCATTTCAACAGGTGCAAAAAAACCATGACAAAAAACTTAGCAAACTTGAATTTGCAATAAATATATGGGAAATTCCTTAATTTAACATACATTGCCTACAAAAAAACCTGTAGCAAATACCATATCTAGTGGGGAAATCTTGAACACTTTTCATTTAAGATTGGAAATGAGGCCAGGATGCCCACTATAATGACTTTTCTTCAAATTATACTGGAAGTCCTGGCTAGTGCACTAAAGCAAGAAAAATAAGTAAAAGACATAATGATTAGAAAGGAAGATATAAACATGCAACTTCATTTGTAGGCAATGAAATATAATATAGAATCACACTCACTAGAGTGACTAAAAAGAAAAAGACAATACTGAATGTTGGTGAGAATGTGGAGTGGCTGGAATTCTCATACAATGCTGATGAGAGTATAAATTGATATAACCCTTTGGAAGCTGTTTAGCTATATCTACTAAAGGTGACCATATACACGCCTCATAACCCAGCAGTCCTACTCCTAGGTATATGCCCAACAGAAAAGCTTACGTTTATCAAAACATATGCAATAATGTTCATAAAAGCATTATTTGTAATAGTCCAAACTGGAAACAACCCAAATGCTATAAACAGAAAAATGCTAAATTGTGGCATAGGCGCACAGTGGATTACTATACATTGACTAGAAGAAATGCCTCACAACTACATACAAGCATAAGGATGAATTCCATAAACATTGTACTGAGCAAGATAAACCAGACATAGAAGAGGACATACTATATAGTTCCACTGAGATAAAGTTCTAAACCAGGTAAAACTAATCTAGGGTGATAGACATCGGAATTGTCTTTGGCGCCTGAGTAGGAGGTCCAGACTTTCCAGAATGCTGGAAATGTTCTGTTTCTTGATTTCTGAGGTGATTACATGGGTGGTTACTGAGCAACAATTCATTGGGAGCTGTGCGCTTAGGCCTGGCATACTTTTCTTTATGTGTATTATACTGCAAGAAAAAAAAATTTTTTTAGTGAAAAAGTCAAATAAGCGGTCAGATTGTTTCATCATAACGGGAGGCAAAAATGGCAACTGGGAGCTGTGGGAGCTTAGGGATGTCAGGGGTCGTGTGGGCAGAGGTAGGGGGAAGTGGAAGTGAATTAGAAGATGTTTAAGAGGCAGTATAGTGTAGCGGTTAAGAACATGGACTCTGGCTCCAGGCTGCTTTGGTTTTGAATCCATGCCTCTTCCTCTCCTTTCCTTTAAAGTTCCTTCTCTATTAAATGAGGTCATAATAGTGCTTACAGTATAGAGCTGTGAGGATATATGAGGTAATTTTTGTCAAGTGTTCATAATAATGTCAAGCCATATAATGAGTACCATGCACATCTTGATTAAATAAAAATGATGCCTACGTGAGTGAAACAGCTCATACAAAAGCCTGGGGGTGGGGTGAGGGTTCCAGAAAGCCAGATGTTTCTGGCAATTTGTTGTGGTCTGGGTGAGGCATGCTCCTCCGGTACAGGCCAGACCCGGAATGACAGGCTAAAGATCTCAGACTTTCTCTCAAAGATAGTAATATTTTTCTATCTTTGAGACTCCTGCTATCTTGGTTTACCCTCAGTTAGCCCTTGGGAGAAAGAATTGTTCTGGTGAGATCCTTGGAATGGCAAGGAATAGCAATGAGGAAAGGAGGGCAGCAGAGGCCAGCTAGACTCAAGCCCGTCTGTCACCCTACCCTCCACCCTGAAGCAACCTTCTTCCCTTGGCAGGGGGAAGAGAGGGTTCACCAAAAAGGCTTGTCTCTATGAGATAAGCACATAGGAACTAATAGGCAGAGCTGTAGCAGGAGAAGAGAGGGGAAACTGAGTCATGCATTTGTAGCCACAATCCTTTATTTTGAAGCAACTCCAACTTTCTAGGAATGGGAAA